AACAGACTTCAAAATGTCTTCTATTGTCTTTCCTGTGGTTGTGAAAGATGCAGGTATTTTAGCAATGCCTGTGCTGACGTTACAATTTAATCCTTGAAAAAGGAGGGCACCCCCACCACACACATACTGATAAGGTATAATTAGCTCGTTACTCGCTGCAGAAAGGTATCTCTGGGACTAGGAACGTTGGTAGGATCCCAGAAGAGAAATGGTGTATAATGAGAAAGCCTCCAGTTCCAGAAGATAGGAAATACATGTATGTATTTGTGTGTTAAGAGAGAGATAGTAATCCCCCTGCTTTCACTGACAAATGTTAGAAGAAAATGTTACCTATGAACACACCATGCTCCAAAGTGATTTCTATCTCCCTCCAGGATAGCCACCGTCAATTGCAATCAGAAAGTGTATATAGGAGAATAGACAAAAAGTGTAGTCCTCTATTATGTTTAGCATAAGAAGTAAGAAAAAACTATGACTGTAATAAAATGAATAAGATGAAGTGAGATGAAAGCTTTGTTATTTAGCACTGTGCTAGTTGTGGCTAAATTAAACAGACAAAGCTTGCAGTTCATCTCAGACTCAGACAAGTTCCTTACAGGAAATCACAAAGCAGATATGACGACTGAGACAAAATCAAGCCCAATAAACCCAAGTCTCTAGAGAAGAGACACAATTACAGGAGACTGCTTTGTGTGCACTTTGAGGGTAAGTGATGTGCAGTTCCCCATAGTGATATAGTGAAAGAAGAAATTGAGGCAGAGGAGGCTGAGGAAGGAGATTAATGTAAAATGAAATAGAAGTAAGGATGGTGCAAATGTGACCATGACAAGAATATCTTGTAATGAATGCATGCATGGAGCCAGAGGATGTGTGACCAACCAAGCAAGGATGAACTTGAGAGCTGAGTTCACAGAATCACAGAATCACAGAATTTCTAGGTTATTTTTATCTGTTAAACAATAAGCCTCAGGTCAAAGTTAGGAAGAAGATTCTTTTCCAGTACCACTAGGTGGAGGAAGTGGAGTCCTTCACTCCCCCAGTTATCGTATTGTCACGTCAAGTCTCCCTTGTAATATTGCAGTGCCAACCAAAAGGCTGAATTCGTGTGGGCTTCTCACTCACTGTCTTCACTTCTGAAACAGCAGTTGTTGGCAGCTCAGATTTTCTCCCTACTTTTAAATTGTGGAATTTAAGTAAAAGTATAGTTCTTAAAAAGTGTGCAAGTAGCCATATTTTCTTTATAGTGTCTGTTCTGGCTCAGTTTTACTTGCTTCTGTTTATCTTTATGGAGCTGAGAGTCTCCAGCTGAGAATGGCTTATCTCTGACTCCTGTGAGCTTTACTCAGTCTGCCTGTGAGCTATATGTGACTAATGTCTTCAGGATTAGACCTTTGAAGGAGAAACCTCTTTGCATCAGATGGTATTAGTACAACAAGATAAGCATGTCAAAAATGTGCTTGGAAATTTTTATTTTCTCTTGTAAAGTATTGGACATGAAAATATCCTGGCACCACTCTTAGAACATCAGGCCTGCATCATGGAGATGTCTGCCAGTGTAACTGGATCAACAAAGGGGTCTGTTCAGGACAGCTGTACACTAATAGATCCTCTACTTGTCAAGACATGACCAAGCTTTGTTCTTGTATTAAGAAGTCTGAAGAAAGCATCTCATAAGTGATCTCTACAAGTTAGGATAAATTTTGTGCAGGAATCCATGTTTATTCTTTCCTAGTTTGGAAGCTTTTATGAAGTAGACATTGGTCAGTCAATGCAGCAATATTAATATACTGTAATATAGCCAATATAGTAAATTTCTGGTTTATCGTTGTGGATGGGACATAATAACAGCTAAGAACCTTCCTGCAAGGAGGAATTCCCCAGACGTACACATCTGTTTAGATTACATCTTTCCCATATACGACCACCAGTTGATTTAACCTTTTGTATCTCAATGCCAGTAAAGTGAAATATGTACCTTACCCTGACTTTTGTTCTCTGAAATATTTATTATACAACGTTAGTCACTGTGGGTTACTCACTATATATCAAATTGTTACTACACAGCTCCCAGAGCAAACATTATTCTTTGAACTGTCCTAAAAAGATATATCAATTGTCTAAGAATGCAATTACTACAGAATTCTCTTGCCTGTGTATTTAACATGGGAAAAAAATCATCCCTAAGACAACCACAGGCAGACCACAGTCAACAGCTGAAAAACTGACCATGGCTTTTCAAATAAAAATCACTCCCTGATCTGATCTGATTCTCAGGTTACAGATATAACCACAGTTAGAATGGTTCCTAAGAGCTCTGGTTGCACCAAATGGCAGCTTGACATCTAAAGATGGTGAGGGTAGTTGCATCCTGATTTAGGACCGGTAATTTAGTTCTTACATATTATTATTATTATTGTTGTTGTTGTTGTTGTTGTTGCTATTACCATCTAATTTTGCCTTCAGCTGTCTACCTTTAGGTTAGAGGTCTACCTCTAATCTCATTCAAATCCCTACTGCAACTAATTGAACCCCTCTGTTGCTGGCAGTAGATTACAGGTCTGGTTATATGTTATAAATGTAATTTCTGTGGTCGTGGAAGAGCAGTGCCATTACTGTTAAACAAAGCTGGTAGAAAAGCACCGTTTAAAAGCAAAGGTTTCCTGTCTGACACCAGCAAAGATCAAGAATATGGAATATGAATTCCCAGTTAGAAAGTAACTGGAAAAGACCTGAGGGGTTGGGGTTTTTCTTTCTGCCTGAAAATTAAGAGTGGTAATAATGAAATTAGTATAAATTGTTTTCTAAATAAAGCACAAATGTTTTTAATTGTGTTATAGCATAAGCTATATAATCTGATTCACAACAACTGGTCTTGCATGATATATCTTGGTATGCAATTTTCAAAACATCAGGAAAGGTGGTCCATGATTAGGTAGTTTAAAAATAAACTAACTCATGTTAGTTTTGGTGTACCAGCTAGTCAGATAGGCAGGATACCACATTCTCTGCATGCCAACGGAAAATTCTAAAGGCTGGATAATTTGGAATGTGAAAAGGCAGTGCATTAACTAGCAACCATTGAAGTTGATGAGAATTTTGCTCTAAGTTCACGGGAAAGAAAAAATATCACTCAGTATAAGCTTAACATTTCTATCTTCAGTGCCTTTAAGAGCTAAGAGGAACATGGACAGCAATTAGAAAACACCATTTTATTTTACATTTGTCTGTTAGAAGGGCTGGAGGCTGTTAGCAAAGTTGATATCCCTGATAATTGTATACTCTGAGCCTTCTAGGAGCAGAGAGGGTTGGTAGAATGACTGTGGCATTAGTGAGGGCTCTACTCCTGCTCTGTGATCAGATGCTTATATGCAGAATGCTTATATGCAAATGATCCTTATATGCAAATGAGCTCACTAGAGCTCATTTGTGGATTTCAATAGGACTCAAATGCCCTCTTCCTCAGATTCAAGCCCTAGTCTCTCCACCCCCCTTGCATAATGCAATTTAGTGCATAGTCTTGCTGTGATTCTATTTAATTGCTGAATTTAAGGAGAGATTTCTCAAAATTATGATGAACTGCTAATAGCTGAATTCAGAGAACTTTAGCAAAATTGTTAAGTTCTAGTAGCCGGGAATATGGTCCCTTATCTCCATATATAACTGATGTCTTTCTTTCAGTATAGGCATCGCTACAAAGTACTAATATCAGAAAATGTTTCTGTTTTGTTTTAATAGTTTAGTCCAAAAAGTGTCTTAGTTCCTTTTCTTTCAAAAAGGAGCTTATTTCAGTCTTTATTAATGTACCCAAATTTCATCTTTCAATGAGTCTGTGGGTAATTTTGATTACTTCAGCTGATGCCTAGTCAAATGTGTTTGGTTGTCTCAGTAAAATGATAGTACTTTTTGCCAGACAATCACAGTAAGATGGGTTATTTATTATTACTACTATTCCTCCCATATTTTAGTACAGAATCTTTCAATTATCTGCATTAAGAGGAGTATCCTTAGCCCTGGAAAAAATTCTTTGCAGGAACATTTATGGTAGCTACTACCATTGCACACTTCTTTACATAATTCTCCCCACTTCAGGTGCCAGTCTTGAGTAAGATGTAGCCCACACCCATCTGCTTGCCTGGCATAATCCACAGTTTGGAGTGCAGAAGAGCCAAGATTTTAATTTTGCCTGTGATGGCGAACAAAGCTTTCTGAAAATTAGGGTTAGGAAAAGTAGCCAATTTTATTTCTATTCCTTGCCAGAGTTCTGGGAGCGAGGGGTTACTTCAGGAAGTCATCTTGGACTCACCTTTAGAGAAAACTCAAGGGTTTTTAAGCATCTTCAAAATGTTCTTCACTACATTCCTTACTCTTTTGCATTCATGAAATAACCATTTAAACCTCCATTACAGATTGCTGCTGGGGACTTAACTAGAACTGAAGTTGAATTTAAAATTCAGACAAATTCTCCTTAGATTGTGGAGAAAGAGGCAAGAGCTCAACATGGCCAACAGTTATAGGAAGAAAGATAGGAGCTCCAGCTCAACCATGGAACCTAGTGAGGAGGGGTATTGTTTTTTTGAGCTACTAATTGGCTTTCTGCAATTGCTGCAGCAACATTTTCATGTCTGTGGAATCTGGCTCCTCTGTCAGAAAACAGAAGCACTTCACTGACAATTGTCCCTGCCTCACTGTATCCAGACAGATGCCCTTGTTCTGGTCCTGCTTCTGCAGAGTATGTAGAACGCAGCTACCATCTTTGAGTGTCTGTTTCTGCTATGCAACCTAAAATCCTGCAAAATTTTTTAGGACTTTTCAGATGAGCTCACTAGTTTTGGAAAAGGCATGCCTGATATCTGAGGAGGAAGATGCTAAAACAGGGTTGATGTACATGTATGTACAGTTGACATATGTATGATGTACATGTAATATCTGCTGTGCACAGAAGTTGGTGGAGCATTTATGGTTCCATTCAAACAGGGTGAAACACTAAAGAAAAAGTGAATGTATTTGGAGTTCAAGGAAATTTGTCAGACCAGCAAACTTGCCGAATGCCTTTGTTAAGGACCATATTAAATCACACTGAGGTATGGAAATCTTTTGTGATATATATTAGTGCAATATATATCCCATTGACTGAGGGAAATTCATGAGAGTTTTTCTGCATGCAGAGCAGAACTATTTGTCTGTCTCTCTCCATGTACTATCACCATATTAGCAATACAAGAGAGCCTAGAATGATGCAATGTATCCGATAAAAGAAAAGGTTTAATTGTTGCACTGTACATCATCATTTTTTCTGGTATAACTTTATAATTTTCAGTAGGGATTGTCTGGGTGCAGTTGTGGTAGTCAAAGCAAGTTGGAACTATTAAACCACAATTTTCAATGGATTTCAGCCCTATCTCCTTGTTCCATGCTTCTTACACTAAGTTTATCTCCTTTGCAGGCTTCCTTAGACTTCACTGGTCTTGTTTCTCCCATTACAGCCAGTTCCTTTGCTCTTGTACTACATGTTGAATGCTGAGTTAAAGTGTACTGACAGGCTTGGCCAGTGTAACGCTCTTCAGCTTTGCCCTCAGTAAAGGCATTAATTAATTTCTTTCTAATTTTTCCAGCTGCTGATCTTCATGATATTAACAAATACTTCATATTCCTGAAAATTCTTATCCCTCAATAACATGGGCCAATGGACTCATAAGGGGAAGAAAGCATGACTGTATACACCTAATTTTTGAACAAAACGTGATTGAAAAAGGACATTTCTCAGCAACCAAATGTTAAGCGATGTTAAGTGTTTACCAAGCCTTAGATAGATTCCTAGGTACTATACTCTAATTTTATATCCTTAGAAGATACATATATATGTATATAACTCAAATCACCTAAAAAGTTAAGTAACACCAATGGTTTTACCACTATTTCATAATTACTACTACTTTTGGCATCCAACAATTTTGGTGCATTCCATTTTTTTCTAAACACTCATTACCTGTTTTAATGTGGGAAAGGGTGCTGTAAAACACTCCATTTCTGTTAAACACCTGTCACCTCCCTTTACCTGCCCAAATTATGATTTCCCCCCACACACTCCTTGCAGCAGAGAAAAGAAATACTTACAATTAGGTAATGAGAAGAAATTACTATTTGGCACCATATATACAGTGAAAAGCTCCTGTGTGAAATGAGATGAAACTTTTCAATATGGTACTAGAAAAAATAGTGTTGTCTATAATTCTGTAGTATCATTACAAGTGATTGCAGCCCTCAGGTGTAGTCATTTAGTAATTTTTTCTATAAGGGATCAAAGAATTTCAGAGTACACACCATGTTCCTTTTGACCAGTGGTGGGAAGAAGTCAGTAGAAATTATGGAAAATTAACTATACTTTCATAACTAATACTACAGTTCTGAAAATGTTGTAAAATACCCGTTTTTGATCTTTTTTCTCCCTTCCATTTTTCTCAGTTTTAGGACTGTAAATTAAATAGATACTAATTTGTTTATGTAGTACTAAAGTTATCAAGTCAGGATGAGAGACAAAATAATGCAGGTGAGCTTCCTACTGTTACATATCTGGTTTTAGAAAAAACATCTGTAAGGCAGTGGTATCTACTGTCAGGCAAGTTGGAACTTCATGGTCTAGAGTACCTGCATTTCCTCTGTGGTAAGTTTATATCAAAACTTTCTTCTCATATCTGTGTATCTTGTGCAAGGTGAGAAAGTCTAACAGTCTTGGATTTAAATATCTCGGAAGGTTTTTGCCATTTTTCTCTTTTCAGACCTTGCCTTGAGAACATCATCTTTCTTCTTTTTATCCCCTCTCATATCACTTCCTATTCATATGTGATTCTCCTTCCTTGTCTAGATCTCAGTCAACCATAGCATGGCCAGCTGGTTTTATCCTTGCTGCAAACAATGATACCAGACTGCTTAACAATATCTTGCCAATTCCAGCCATAGTTCCCTGTGTCAGCTTTGTTGGTTTTAAGTTGTCATCCACTTTTCTTCACATATCTAAACACTGTCTTTATTGAGGATTAAGATCTGTGAATGAGTGGGGATGGGGGAAGTGGAAGGAGGATATCATTCTGGGTCTAAGGGGAATCAACATTGTCTTTTTGAAAAAGTCTGTCTGCTTCCCAGACTGACCATCTGGGACACTGTGTGGCACTACATAAAGTACAAAGACAAAACAGAAAAACAGGGAAAAGTAATTAGATTAGAGAAAGAATAACTTTGCAAGGAACTGTTGTCCAATGAACTTCACTGAACAGAGGAAATGATGTATATAGTTTTGAAGACAGTGGAAAAGAAGGACACTTACAGAACTAAACTCCTATCAGTAAACAAATACTCCCTTTAATGGTAACTCTACCTTTCTAATTACTGCTGTATTTTAAAGCACTTCTCAATGGCCATGATGTTAAGAAGAAGAAAAACACAGACAGCAGTGAAAAAACGCTGAACTCAATATCAATCTGCAAACTCCTGGCAAACCTTAACGCTTGGATGAAGGTAGTCAGTTAAGAACATCAGGATTTTCTTAGATTTCTGGTCTGGTGTTTATCATGGCTGTGAGTTGATGGCAGACTCACAGGATGGGTTGACTGAGACACTCAAGTTTCAGTCCATGTGGAATTCTGCATTCTACATTTGTAAAGCAGCTGTACAATGTATTTGCTTCTTCAAGTGACAATGAAATCCTTCCATTTCCAGCACTAATCCAAGAGGATATTCAACAGCAACTTCTGAAGTTAAACATTTAATGCCTGCAGGAACTAACCAGTTTACTCCCATGGTTTTCAAAGGAATGTTGCTGAGGAGCTGTCTAATCCATTGAAGTTGCAAGGCGGTGTTTCTTCAGTCATAAGGGAAGTTTCTGAGCATACAAAGGAAAAAGACAACATTATGTAAAATAGGTTTTTAAAGTTCTGGGCATACTGATGAAAAAACTCACATAGGATCCTGAAAATAATTAACTCCCAAGTTCTGCAATTACTAATGTCAAATAAATGACTTTAAGGAAAGTAGGCAAACTCAAAAGTTTGCTTGGAAGTGCATTCTTGGTTACAAAAGTAAGCTTGCTTTAATGTGTACAAAAGGTCATAGAATCAGAATCATTAAGGTTGGAAAAGACCTCCAAGATCATCTGGTCCAACTATCCCTCTACCACCAATGTCACCCACAAAACCATATCCCTAAGCACTACATCCAATCTTTCCATGAACACCCCAATGGATGGTGACTCAACCACTTCTCTGGGCAACCCGTTGCAATGCCTGACTGCTCTTTCTGAGAAGAAATGTCTCATTATCTGACACAAGACTTTTATCAAAATAGAGCTATGCCAAAGAAATGTAATACTTTATGCAGATATTTAAAAAATACCTACTGATAATATAAAGTTTACTGCCATTAACTCAATTAATCCCTGAAACTGCTGTTTCTTACTCTTTTCTCTGGATAAATCTATCAAGCTTAAGAAGAAGATTAGTTAGGGTTTTGGTCCCCACAGCTCTACTGGGAAGATTGTTCTGGGTTTGTTAATCTGATGATTAGGAATATTGTAATTCCCAGATGACATTTATTCATGACTAGTTCATGGCATTTCTTTTCCCTGGGCTAACACTATTCTCTAGAAATAGTTCTTCTACTCCTCCTCAGACAAAGTATAGGGCAGTTTCATCACTCCCAGCCTTTCTCTGATATTCTTGCCTCATTCTGCTGTAGCCTTCTTCTCCTAACATTTCCAAGTCTGAGTTCCTCTTTCATGAATGTAACAGACCTCTATAACACATGGAAGTCTAGATAAGGTTTCATACCTTTAAATCGTTTCTTGATGAACAATGCATTTGCAACACAACAAACATACAACACAACACAACAAATATACAAAATGATATTTTGTTATAGAATTTGTGAATGCCAGAGGACAAATGGGTAGTTAACATCTGGAGAAGCAGTGCAGGAGAAGGCCCAGTGTGCAGACACAGTATTTGAATGCAGAACCAAGAGAAGTTACTTTGGTGAGAATAGGAAGTGCCAGCAACTGATGTAGCTCTCTTGTAATACTTAAAGGACGGACATACCTTGACTATATCAAGTGTGGGCTCAGAGGCTGCAAGTTGTCAATGTTCTTGAAGATATTAATTCTTGCTTAGGACTACAATGTTTGTCTTAACTATAAATAAATTTGTAAATGATGGGCTGTGGTAATTTAGTACAGTAGTTTGGATTCCCTTTCTTCACCCCTCTCTTCCCTCCCACTCTCCTCCACTTACCTATGTATCAACAGAGGAGACATCTGCCTCATGGCAAGGAGGCATATTGGTGGTAGTAGCAACAACAGTACTGCTTAGGTCTGGTTTTCATCCACTCAGTATTGATGGAAAATCCCTCCCCCGTTTTATCATTCTGTGTTTACTAAAATCTACTCCCTCTCTCCATCTCTTTTCCAGTTTTCACCATACCCTCTTGGTATTTTCACCCTGCCTGTTCTGTGTTTTGCCCTAATTTTTCATTCCTTCCTTCTCTTTGTCCTTTTTTACTGCAATTCAACCCAAGGAGAGTAGGAACTCAGAAACATTTGAACCTAAGTCTGTCTTTAAGATGTCTGGTTTGTATGTAGCTTTTCAAAATTAAACAAAGCAAGCTCGTCTATCCTCAAGTACAATTACCAGCCAGAATAATTAGACCAATTTTCATAAAGTGTTGGCATCAGCAATGTGCCTGCAGGGTTTGAAAGTAAATCGTTCTCCACACAAATTGGTTAGCAGGGAAGGAAACTCACAGGTTCTTTGTGTCAGCTGTGTCAGCCTGGGAGCAGAGTCACACTGCACAGCATGGAGTGGAGAGAAATGCCCTGGGGGGGGCGGGGGGGGGGGGGGGAAGACCATCTCTGAGCAGAGGAATTGATCTGTTTAGAAAGCTCAGTCAGAGAAGAGACAGCTTGCTTCCTCCTGAGCTCCTCCAATGTGTATCTCACCAGCACTTCCCAGGTGTGTATGGCAGGTCAGATCATGCCAGGTAAGCCTGCTGACTGGCAAGCTGCCCCACAGACAAATGTTTTCCTTGCACACCTGGATATCAAAAACTAGTGACCTGTAGCAAAACTAATTGTTATGTGTCGGTGTACTAAAGGGTAGACTATGCATTTTTGAGGCCCTTGTTCCTCTTTCAACATGTGGGGTTTTTTTTGTTTGTTTGTTTTTAGGACATCAATATGTTGACCAGGCTCTTCACCAGATTTTGTCAGAAAAGTTATCATGGTAAACACACAAAGAATCTCAGAATTTTGGCTTCTGTAGCTAACGTTGCTGAAGTCTGATTACTTGGTAAAATCCAGCATTAAATGTCTCTTTAAGTGAATATATTTCCCTACACACAAATTATAGATATAGCTGTCAAAGGCATTTTAAAAAATGTGTTTCAAGTTGTGCCAATTTTTATTTCTCAAGTGAATTTTCTTCATTGTATCATGTTACCCCTACTGACTCTTTCCAATCAAGGAGAGGAAATTTCATCCCTTAAAATGTCTAAATGTCATCTGTTTGCTGATAGCTACCTCACTCAGAAATTTAATTTTGAAAAAGAAATGGCTCAATATACTTAAAAAAAAAAAAAAAAAAAAAAAAAAAAAGACAGTGCTTTTTCTTGCGGTAACATTATTACCAAATAAGAAAGTTACTTAGTTAAGGAGACTAAATATATATCCTGAAAAGTACGTAAGACTTTGGGGGATCTGAGGATTGATATTTTCCATGTGAATATGCAACTTTATTGCATAAAACATAAAAGTAAATGTTGTGCAAAGTTGGGCCATTGAAGCTCAAATATTATTTCATGCCTTTATCTTACATTTAACTACATGAATTTAACTACACTCACTTAACTTACGCTGTTACAAAACTGAAGACGGAGAAATTTCAGATGAGAGCACACAAAAGCAGAAAAGGTCCAGTTATTGGAACCTTATGGAAAACAGATAATCAAACAAACAAACAAAAAATGCACCAAAGGGCATCTCCACTCTTTGAGATTAGCTATGAAAACCATTCAAACTCACCAGGCTTAGAAACACTTCAGAGTTTTAAAACATACAGGTTTATGAATTTTGTATTTTGTGAGATGATCAAATATCCCATTTGATGCTAGTTGGTTTAGGATCATTGAAACAGAGCTATAATTAAAATAGGAAGACTTTGAAGAGATTGTAAGTATGTTAGCTATTTCTAGACTTTACTTAGATAATAGTCTTCCTTTGGGACAGGACAGCAATAAGAAAGCCGTTTCTAGCAAGAAGCAGGTTCTTATATTAGGTTCCCGTAGAGGTTTAGGTTTGCCCCAAGCATCAGGCCAGTCATCCCAAACCACAAAACTAGCATCTTTCTTTTGTTCCTTTGCCCTACCCTTCCCTCCCTTCCCTTTTCCATGACATAAATGCCACAGCTTTTCTTCTGGTAACAACAAAATTCAGTATTTCCTACATCACTAGGTAGCCTGGAGTATTCCAGTTTCTTAACTACCTATAAAACGACTTATAAAATGTCGTATTTCAGATAGCTTTACTGAGGAGTTTTTTGTTGTTGTTGTTGTTGTTTTATTTTGTTTTCTTTTAATCAACCATATAATTTTGCCCTTCACCTTCTAATTGACATCTATTAATCAAGCTGACTACAGGTCCCACTATTTCTCTGCTAGCAATACTAACTGGAATTCAGGAAGCAGAATTGTATTTCACAAATAAAGATCAGCTGTAACAGACAGCTCAGTTAGGGCTGGATTTATTTATTTATTATTTATCTGCTAAATTGCTGAAAACTAGTATGAGAAATATTGAACTTTTTTGTTCCTGTCCTCAAACAATAATGAGTGGCAAGGTGCCATACTTTTATCACTATCCATGGGGTACACCAGATTCTTCAAGTGTGTGAGAGAACTTCTACTTCCTCTCTCGATCATCTTTCAATTTCCCTGTGCTGTTAGTATGAATTTTCATCCTTAGAATCTATCCATAACTGTTTTCATTTGTTTTTATTTCAGAGAGGGATCAATTATAAAATGTCTTTTTAAGGATTTACTGTGAGAGTGTTAGACACGCCATAGAAAGGAATCTGTTAATATTTGGCCATGAAGCTGATGAGTATCTAACTTATTATTATTTAAAATGTGCTTATTAGGATAACTTCTTTGTTTAAGAATTGCAATACCAGTTGTGAAATCTCACACATTTTACAACTCTGTTTTTGACAGTTATATTTAAAAATATAAACCTCAAATAAAACTGTGATGGGGCTTAATGATGAACTGTGTTTTAGAGGAAATTGCATAGCTAAGAAGATAGGCAATACTGACACAGAGATTTGTATTTGTAGGTTTGAATCCACTGTACAAAAGTTGCTGTCTTTTGATGCCTATAAAATTCCCTACGTGAAAGTTGTTTGATCTCAGTTCCATTCCCAGTGGACAAATATGTTTATCACAAAGAACAGTACAATTTCCACTGATTGGTGCTTTGTTAGTAGTTTCAGAAGGCTGAGCAGACTCTGAATGGACTTAAATGTTCTCTCCAGACCAGCGTTAAAGTGAATTAAAACTGTGGAAACAAAGCCATTATTTCTGTTTGTATTTGGTGCATTGGTAAAGGTAAATGCTGAGCCTATAAATTGAAAAGCTTTTATAAACCTGCTGAAACTATATACAAATGAGAGGAAAACATGATTTTCATTTTTTGCTACTGCAGAAACCCATTCTTCATTCTTTATTCAGAAAATTACAATATATTTCAGAAATATTTAGAAATCTTAGTAATATCTATCTGAACTTCATCTTTGCAATGAGGAAAGAAAGAATTCTGAAGAGGTCTGAACATGTGAAATTATTTTAAATGTACCTAAATCAGTAGCTTTGCTTGCACATGATTTGTAATAAATTCCCATGCTATATCATTTGGCTTGATTGTCTAAGACAACTTGTATGTGTTACACAATAACTAAAAAAAGGTTTAAGGTAGTTCAGTGATTAAACCTCTGTGCTGGGACTCAAGAAACCTCAGGCTGAGGGCTTGCTGCATGATAAAACTTTGTGCAAGATGCTTGATGAGACAGTTATGGTGGGATTCATGCTGCCTTATTGATCTGTTTGAAATATTCAGTCTGAGTGAGCTGTCTCAGCTCACTCAGCTGTATGAGTGAGAATCACTTCTACGGTACAAAAGCCTCCTATCCTTTGGATGAATTGCTACCCAAAAATGCCTGTGCCTCTTTCACTGAAGTAGGACTACCTAAATTTTGAACAGCTGAGGTGAGGTGAATCCTACCTTTAATTCTGTCTGAGTCAGCTACCAGCTGAGAATAAGAGTGCTTTGATCACTCATATGAGCTAAGAAGAAATATGTCAAATATACCAAAATGAGCCACATAGCTAGGGCAGGCTGAGAATGACCACCTAAGTACAAAGGTGTTGGACAAAGTGATGTACTTGTGCACAATATGAAACAATGTCAAATAATTATTCATTGCTCTTGGGATCCCAGCTCCCACAGTAAAGTATGTAAGTGTTTCCTACAGAACTGGACTGTAAGTCACAGACATTGTGGTACATACCCCAATGGTCTCTGCAAGGGGAGAGATCAGTCTCCAGACTGCCTAGGGTCCCTTAATATACTAAATTCACAAGGGAAAGTCTTCCACAGACTAAACAAAACCCTGTAAAATGCATAAAAATTACAGGTCAAAATTAGCATATTTCACCTGATCCATGCACTGTAGGCAATTTGGGGGGCTCTAAGTATAGAGATGATGGGCAAACCAACAGCTGTCTGACATCCACATTGTTTGTGAATGAAGGCATCAGAGGTGATATCGGATTGTCTTTCTCAGGCATCTCTAGAAAGCACAGCAAGTATCACTTGGTTTGCAACAGAAACGTTAGTGATTGCCAGTGCATGTGGTCTCTTTTAAGCAGATGAGGTACCGTCCTCTGCTGGTAAAAGGAGGCAATTATTTATTTATTTATTTTACGCAACACAATGCAATGAAGAGCAGGAACCTCATTTCCCCTGTTACTAGTAGTTTCTACATAAGCTTATGCTGAGGTAGCTGAATAGAATAGCTTTTCATAGTTGATTTTTGAAATAAAATGCAAGCAATAAGGTGTGTGTGGGGGGCGGGGAAGAGAGGGAGAGAAGAGACGAATATCCAAATGTGATGATATGGGAGATAGTATTTGTATCAGAGTAGACACAATAAGGGTTACCTATGTGTAGCATGCCATCAGGAACTTGTTTTTATGCTTTGTTTCTTTTGCAAATGTGCTTGCATTGTTCAAAGTCAGACGGGGTTTTTGAGATACCTAATGTCTGCTCTTGTGATATAAAAGAACTTGTGCTTGTCTTTTCTTTGTTTATATTTCTCCCTAAGATGAACCATTGTGGAAATCAGCTGGGCAAATGCAAATCTGTACTGCTGTCCTGGTGCACAGCTGGGTGAGATACTGGTTTTTGTTATTTTCTATCTCAAAGCATGAATTGGTCTCTCAAACCCACGTGTAATGTTCTTATTTCCTCAACTGTTCACATCAGCGAGGCTGCAGTTTCTCATTGGTTAGTTAGCAGCAGGAGACAAGTACTTCCTTGGGCTTATTTTGGCAGAAAAAAAAATAATAATAATAATAATAATAATAATAATAATAATAATGTATTAGTCTTTATGTATTTATCATCAAAGTAGCTGTCATACGTAATTGTATGGTTGTATGGTGTGCATACAGCATCATAACTGTGTATTGGAAATGTAGCCTCATATATATATATATTACTATTTTTTGTAAGCAGAAAAAAAATAGTTCATTAAAA